TGTTGTTGTCGAGGGTGATGATGACGCCCTTGACATGGAGGATAATCAACCTCATGTTTCTCTTGGCGTGGGGGAAGTCCATGGTCATCTTGCTTTTCTTGAACTTGAGGTTGAGGAGGAACTTGACGAGCTTGAGGAGGTGGGGGAACTTGACGTTGCACTCGCGGTTGGTAGTTTCGCTCTTGGATTTCTTCTCAAAGTGCTTCCTCTTGATTGCACCTATCGCGGTTGCGGTTAGCAATGGCTCGACTTGATTCTTGAAGGGCACGTTGCGCCTCAAGAGCTTGTGCTTCACGTTGTTGTTGTTGAAGTCGTTGAGCCTCGGCGTCTTTTTCATCTTGATGTTGTCGCGCGCGCTCTTCCTCTTGGTGACATTGGCGTTGTCGTTCTTGAGCTTGTGCAAAAGCAACTTCGTGTGGTTGAGGACGAAGGACTTGCTCGTCGACTTGCTCTTGTGAATGCTCGTCATGTAGAGGATTGCGAGATGCATGGCGGTCTTGATGCGCGGCTCGGCGAAGAGTGTTCGATGTCGGGGTACTTGAACCGGAGAGGGTGTCATCAGAGTGTCGACTTGAGCGGCTCCGTCTTGAGTATGAAGAAGTGGAGGGATGGTGGTTCACCAACAAGGCGTGGATCTCGTCCATTCTTGCATCATTCTCTTGCTTGTGAGCGTCGAGCTTGTTATCGAAGTAGTCTCTTGTTCGTTGCTCGGAGAGTCGCAAGTCGGTGGCGAGTTTGTTGATGCGGTCGCTCATTGCTTGTTGCTCTTGATGCAACGCTCGTTGTGCACCAAAGAGGTGGCTCTTGGTGACGAATGATGACATTTCGTCGTCTTGCTCGATGAAGAGTGGGTTGGTATAAGAACTTGCCCTATCCATCATTCCAAGCAAAATGTAAGTGTGAGAAAGAGAAGAACTTATACCAAATGTACCTTGACCGATGTTAAAGATGGATCAAGATCACTCAAATGTGGACAATGAAATAGCACAATTGGTACCAATTCTTGTCGGTTCTCGCACCTACACAAGTAAAAGTTTATGGTGGAGCTTGGTTAGGATGGTGGCACAAAATTTGATGCAATTATAAGTGAGCTTCAATAATGTTGGAAAAGATTCGCAAATTTGCAAATGCAACAAGTATACCAAGCAAGTAGTGGTACACGGAAACACACACACAAATAGATAAGTGGGGTTGTGCAAACCAAAAATGAGCCAAAATGTGGAGTCCACGAAAATGCTCTTGTTGCACAACACTAGAGAGACGCTAGCACAATTGCACAATAGGCAGATACGTAACTCGTGCACAACCTACTAGGCAAAAATGCAACGACCTCTATCCCAAGTATGCTATATGTATGGTATTTCGGTGATATGATCCAAGATGATCGGATATGACAATCTTAATGTAGTATGATGCTATGGTTCTTGCTTATAAGCTCTTTGCTTATCTTTCCTCTTTGCTTAAAAGCTTGTTTGGCTCTTTCACTTTTGAGCTCTTTTCTCATGCAAAACTTCACGAACCAAGATAGCAATTGTGTATGCGATGACAACTTTGTGACACAAAAGATGATATCAAGATATATGCACCACTATGAGATGGTGTGTATGCTATGGAGTATGATCACTAATGTGCACAAGTCACGTTGCCGGCAATACTCAATGGCTAGTATCGATAGGTAAGCAACACAAAAGTAAGGCTATGTGGGTATCAATGCAAATGCAAGGAAGTGACGAAGATGTTGTCGAGGTTACCGTCCTTGGCGATGACGAGTCATTTGCGAAGATGAGTGGTGGTGATGTTGACGTCGAACCGTAACTATATAGCTGAAACACAATAGGACAAGGGAACCACAACTCAAAATCTCAAAGACCCAAAACGTGTCAAAGCGTGTCGAAGGTGGTAGCGATAAGCGGCGGTGGTGCTTGCGGAAAGCGGTGGTGATATGCGAAAGAGTATGCGGAAGTCGTTGAAGATGCGCGAACTTTTTGTCTAGGCTGGAAGTTCCGGGCAAGACGAAAGGTCCGGGGGCACGAAGTTTCGGGGACGGCCGGAAGGTCCGGGGGGCGGAAGTTCTGGTGGTCGTGAATCTGCCAAGAACAGAGAATTGGGGAACGTGGATTTGGGCGGAAAAACTTGGGGAAACCCCAAATCCGAGGGGGAAAAGAAGAAATTGGGGAGGAGGGAAGCTATATCTACGAGCCACACACAAAATTCACAGATCAAATCCAACAAAACTTCATCACACCAACAAATCACAAAAAACAATTTGGGGCTATTTTTGGTGGGGATTTTCGGATTTAGGACGAAAACAACAAAATCAAGCTAGAAAACAAAGCGTAGGGGCTCCAAAAACGTGATCGACGTGGCTCATGATACCAAGATGATGTAGGGCGGAACCCTAGGGGCCAATCTTTCACGTTGGAGAGGATCCCTATGAGGGGGAACGAAGAACACGAGGAGGGGAACGAAGGAAAAACACGAGAGAAACACTCAACAAACAAAAACAAAGTCACACATGCGCTAGATCATCGAGGCACAAGGTGATACAAGATCCACGATCAACAAAGGACGATACAAAGATAGTCGGTTCTCCTCCGTGAGGAGGTCTTGAAGGTTCTTCCCTTGAAGGGGTCTTGAATCCGCTTGGGGGATCTTCTCCGAAGAGGTCGTGAGCTCCGAGGAGAAGTAACCAAGTGGATGAGCAAGGCTCGCACACAAAATATGAGCTAAACCAATGCTAACCCTAAAACGTAGGTAGAAGAAGAGTATATATAGTCTATGGGGCGAAAGGGTACACGGGCCTCGGCCTAAGTCGCTGCGCGTAGGCAGGGCCGGAAGTTCCGGGAGCCCGAGGTTCCGTTCAGGGTCCGGCCCAACCAGAGAGTTGTCGCGGGTGGAGCTGGGTTGGCGTCCGGGGGCCGGAAGGTCCGGGCCGGGGTCCGGGCTGGTTCCGGGCTAACCAGAGAGTTGGCATGCCCGGGCTGGTCGAAGACGTCGGAGGCCGGAAGCTCCGGGTCGGTCGGAAGTTCCGGGGGCCGGAAGTTCCGGGCTGTCCAGAGAGTTGACGCCTGTCACTTCTTCCTCAGCTCTCCGCTCTGTGACTTGAGCGTCGTACCTAATCACACATAGCACCTCGGACTTAGGCAGTAGCCATGTCTCACTTGAAGAAGAGGGAAACTCAAGTAGGAGTGATGTCACCTCGGATTGAATAGCACGAGTCCTTGCTCTTGTCATGGGTTCACTTGAAGCTTGATAGTTGAGGTGGAGTCCATGGGGATGATCATGGGATGCTCCGCATCATCTGCCTTGGAGAAACCTTGAGTAAGATGCTCCGCCAAGGCCTCATGTGTCTTAGAGCACGATGCCACCTCAGTGGCAAGCTCACGGTGCACGTTTGAGAGAGATGAATCCACTCCATGCAAGTTTGCCTTGGCCTTGTCACGGTGCTATGTCCCAAATGCCCACTTGGACTCGACAAGATCCTTCTCAGACTTCTCCATACTCAAGTTAGTATAGAAATACTATACTTGGTCCTAAATGATGGGGATTATCTCCACGTGGGGAGCAAGTTCCTCAACGCGCACCCGCCCCAGCATGTTCTTCGTTCACCTGTTTAGGAAAGTCCTAGAATGTTCCGCTCCGGGTTCTTTTCATCATTTCTTCCATTTTTTGTTTCTTCTTTTCTGTTCATGAATATTTTTCAAATTTATGAATATTCCTTTAATTCATGAACACTTTTCAAACTAGTGAGTTCTTTCTTATTTGTCAACTTTTTTGATTCGTGGACATTATTTCTACTTTGTGATTTTTTCCGAAAGTTGTGAACATTTTCAATAGCTCATGAACGAGTTTTAAAATTCATGATTTTTTTAACAAAAATCATGAAAAAGTTTTAAGCCCATGAACATCTTTAGAACTAAGGTTTTTAAAAAAATCTATGTACTTTTAAAAATCATGAAAATGTTTTAAGCCCAATGCGCGTTTTAGGGCATTTTGACGAGTGCTAAATAGGAGAAAAGCACATTCACTAAAAAAATAAAAAAGGAGAAAAACACCCGGGCAGCCCATGCCCAGGTTACAGCCGTACCACAAACATGGTACACACACGGGCTCATTACACCCTCTGTTTTTGCTAATCTCAACAAGGCTGGCTTGAGTATGGTGGCTCTGGATCATGAGGGACAGTGCACCCTCGCGTTCTACGAGCCCCCTTTTGGAGATCCCTTTTGGAGATTTTGATCCAGAGATGGCAGAAGCCTTAGCGCTTCGTCATGCGGGCTAGAGATGAACATTTCACGCATGTGACTTTCGCCTTTGATTGTTTCTCTCTGGTGCAATGAATCAATTCTAATATCCGAGACCGTTTGAACGTGGGCTCTGTGGTTATGGATATCAAACAAGCCGCCCTTAGCTTTCACATCTTCGGCCTTCAAGCATGTTCGTCGGCAATGTAATTTAGTGGCCCATGTTTTGGCCAACTCTTGTAAGAGTTCTATAGTTTGTTCTCTCTTTGGCACTCTGCTCCGGATCAGTGGCGGAGGCAGGAATGCATAGAATCGGATGTTGGGGAGGGCTGGCTGCACGCAATAGTAAAAAATTGTCACTGTTTATATGCATAATACTATAAAGTATATTAGGATGTTGGGGAGGGCCCAGGCCCTGGCTGGCCACCCCTTGCCTCCGTCCCTTTCCGGATTGTATCCGGTAGACCTTGTATGACTTTATTACTTAATCAAATCAATGAAATGCCGACGTTTTTCTTTAAAAAAAAAGTTGCACCCTCTGCCCGCCGATTCAGAAAAAAAGAAAAAACTCCCCCGCAGATGAATCCGAATATTCCTTCCATGGTTCGGATGCCTACGCTCTTTCCCCTTGGCCACAATTGCTTGCTATAGCTGTCCTAGACCCCTTCCCGCCCCATCGGTCCATCTCCATCGCTCTCTCCTTCTGCCTCGCCGGCCGGCCATCCCCTTGGATCTCGTCGCGGCACGGCAACGGCAATGGTGGTCTCGTACACGCAGGAGCACGTGTACCTCCACCCCTGGCACCGGGTCACCGCGGCGGCGTGGCGCAAGTTCACCGACCCGGCGGCGCGCGCCGCGCCGCTCTCCCACATCCTGGACGTGCAGACGCTGTCCCGGGACGTCGACCCGCGCGCCGGCCGGCTCCACGCCGTGCGTGCCATCGCGGGCCGGCCCCCGCCGCTCCCGTTCCTCCTCCGCGGCCTCGCGGCCACCGCCGGCGCCGGCGGCGTGGTGCTCTGCGTGGAGCGCACCTCCGTGGACGCGGCCGCGCGCGCCATGCGGGTGGTCTCCCGCAACGCCACCTTCCGGCGGCTGGTGGACGTGGAGGAGCGGTGCAGCTACGCGCCCCACCCGGAGCGGCCGGACGAGTGGACGGTGTTCACGCAGGAGACGAGCATCCGGTGCGCGCCGCTGGCGGCCGTGTCGGCCACGGTGGCCGAGATGGTGGAGCGGCGGTGCGCAGAGAGCTTCGCGCAGAACGCGGCCAAGGGGAAGGAGGTCGTCGAGAGGATCTGCGACGGCCTCGCGCTCGCCGACCACGTCCCAGGACCCTCCCCGGCCGAGGGAGAAGAACAGTAGAAGCAGAGCACGCTCGCTCTCTGTTACTGATGTAGTGATGTGTAAATACTGGCTGGGAGGCAATAAGAAGTGAAATTCTGTAAATTTGCAATATCCGTTGATCAATTTTTTTAGAAGAACAGGGAGGCTCCTCCCGGTTCCATTACTCGAATAAAACCACAAAGTCGTGCCATACATCAGCTCAACGAGAGTAGCAGTTCAGAAAAAGCGAAATGAAAAGAGAGTGCAATATGTTATTAGAATAAACGCTACAGACTTATGAATGTCCACTGGCATCAGACCGAGATACTAGGCGCATATCAGCTCCTGGAGGCCTTGCGAAGTCTTCAACGAAGGGGCTGCCACAGCTTGGGTTGACCAGTTCGCCGTCGGCGTCGATGTCGGGCTGGAGAAGGTGATCGCGTCAGTCTCCCGCTTCTTGAAAGAAGAAGTGAAGCCGGTGCTGTCGTAAGAGATCTTCAGTTTGTTTCATGGATCCACCAGAGGGGCTCCTAATGGTAACTCCCTCATCAGCCACTGATCAACAGGGGGCGGCGAACGCAAGATGATCTGAGAAGACCCCAGTCTCTCCGCATTCTTGTCTGTGGACAACACTATCCAGTTTTTGATAGTCCTTAGGACCAGCCTCGGCACCTGTTTAATTGAGATCCACAAGGTGTTATTGGAAAATGATAGAGTTTCTATATTTCCAAAAACACCAAAGCACCGCCGCGCTGACAGTGTTAAGAGCAGAATGTTTTCTATTAGATACCCAAAATACTGACTCAAAGTCAGTCCCAACATCTACCCCAAAATGATTTTTGACCAGCGGCCAAATCTGCCTAGCTACTATACAGTCAAAAAATAGGTGGGTACTTGGCAGCTTCCACTGTGATGTTGAGTTCTGATTCGTTGGCAGGAGCTGCGCCAAGTAGAGCAGCAGGGGTCAAATCATCGTCACAGGTGTTCTTTCGGGTAGTGGTGATCTTGAGTTTGTGATGACTAGGAGGAACCAGAGATTTCTTCTAGTGCGCCGCGTGTTGCCCCGGCGCCGTGCTAAGTGGCCGGCTGTGACTGTGAACAGCCGTGGCGACGACCAGATGGCACCACACCACACACACGCTAGGAGAAGATTCAGGATCGCCGCGTCTACTCCAGCACTCCTGTAGGACTAGCATATAGCGAGCGGCATCCTGTCCGAAAGAGGAGTAGCAGCAGTTGTGGTCAGTGCGCTGTTGAATTACCACTGAATGAGAAGGCGAGCCGAAAGACGATTCTACTTTACAGGGTACTCGCACAAGATATTTCCGCCTTTCGGGACACATATGTTCGGTCCCAGCCAGCCAGCCATATGATCCCCCGCATCAAGATATTGCTAGTGGCATGTACGACTTGATGCGGGTGACGTGTCGCACGATTAACAATCCAAATATACACATCAAGTGGTTGTTTGGATAGAGAATATTAGCGCCGAGTTTTAGGAAAGCAGGTTTTAAGCAGATTTTTTGGTAAACCGGTATTACTTATTTTTCGGTGCATAATCAATTTAAGCACACCTTTGTTTGGGTTATGGAAGGTGTGAAACCAGCGTACGCATATCCTTGTTTGGAGCCTGGTTCGCCTTTGACTATTCCCTCGCCTCTAGAAAAAAAAAATATCCGTTCTCCTACCCGTGAGCTCGTGGCCTTCCCAAAGCGCTCGTCACTTTCCCCAATTTGGCCGGACGGCAGCCTCCAAATCTCCGATTCGTCGTCGCCTTTGCCTCCGGCCAACACCACCACTTCTCGGCGGCTCGCCCTCTCCGTGTCCAGTTAATCACTGCTCGTCCCCAACTCGTAGAAGCCACAGCTCGCCTCCCCTCTGCCATGGACGACATGGCACACGCGCGACGCCGGCGGTCGATTTCCCTCGATGCCTAGGTTGCCGCCTCTATCTCCACTTCGTCCGTTCTTGCATAGGCTTTGTACGGCTTTGGTAGTCAGCCCGCCGGAGCCCAAAATAAGGACAGGGACATCGGTCTCGCCTGCGTCGTCGTCAAGCGCAAGCTCCTGGTGGATGCTCTGCTCCGTCCTTGGCGCCTTCGTCCTCATCGATGTCTCTACCATCATCAGCCTACTCCATGGCCTGCCATCAGACAAGTACATCCACGCTCTCAAGAAGGTGCTCCAATTCTTCAACCGCAGAAATGTGAGTACTACTTCACTTCACAGAGCCAAAAAGGTACCTGCTTGCCTATGAAAGATCTATTATCTTGGCATGTTCAGGTTCATATAGGCTAGCCGATTGATCTCACCAGAATTTATGTGCACAGAGTAGCTATTTAGTTCAGACTTACAAGTTCATTTTTCAGATTGTTACTACCTTACAAGGTTAGTAGCTTAGTCCTGTCTATTTAGTTCATCCATCTCACAAACTACAAAAGGCATAGAGAGCTTTTACTGACTGCTTCATTAGGTGAAAAGCGTGGCAAGAAATATTATTCAGCAGTGCGATCATCTCTAGCTGTAGAGATAGAGAGAGTGTGCTTGAATCTAAAGAGAATAGAAAGTTCCTGGACCTACCAAGGAATGAAAAGATATAATGATAAATATGCCGTGTATATGAAATAAAGATCAAAATAAATATTGCAGTTCTTAATCATCATCTTCTTCTTCCTGTGTGGTACGCCGTTGATGATAAGCCCACAACTGTTGAGCGATGCCTGCACGTAATCGCTCACCAGCAACTCGATCATCTTCTTGTACATTTGCTTGCCCTCGAACTTGTTGGTCACCTGTGTCAACATTTCCTTCTGTTCCCTCTTGTTCATAAAGCTGAAACAACTCATCATCCCTATCAACCTTCCTTATGAAATTATGGATGATGCAACAAGCCATAACAATTTGGACATGTTTTTTGTAAGGATAAGGGATTCCTCCATTCCTTGTTAATATTGGAAATCGAGCTTTTAGAACACCAAAAGTGCGTTCTACAACATTCCGTAGTTGTGCATGTAGATGGTTGAACAGATCCTTCTCACTACTATACCGACGATTAGTTCCACGAAAAGAACCAATGTGATAGCGATCTCCACGGTAGGGGGCAATAAATCTTGGAGTATTTGCGTAGCCCGAGTCAACGAGATAAAATTTACCTACATGTAAAGTTTGATATCACACTCAAATTTCTATCATATAATCATATGTTTGAGACAATGAAGATAATTTTTACTTGCATGCATGTAAAATTCATGTATTTAATTTTTTACCTTCTGGAACAACAAAGCCACCATCTGTAACAGCCCACCGTAAAACGGCCTGATCCGATGCAGAACCTTCCCATCCAGCAGCCACATATAAAAATGTCATGTCAAATGACACTACTGCCATTACATTTTGAGAGGGATAACCATGCCTGTTTCTGTATGGAGTTTGCTTATCAAGCTTGATTTTTGCATTAATATGTGTCCCATCAATTGCTCCTATGCAGTTCTGTTGGTAAAATTGTAAATTAGAATGTAAGGTTTAAACTTTGATGCAAGTCATATGAAAAAGGAACATGTTCTTGAGATACGATATATACCTTGAAGTATGGGTAGTACCTTTCGTCGCCCAATATTTTTGTTGGAACTTTCATTAGCCGGATCAGTTATGCAAGCATCACGCAAACCATTTATGGCTTTTAAAACTCTCTTGAAGTGTCGACTAATTGTTTCCCCTAAATGTTGAAATCTATCCTGGAGAACACGATTCCTAACATTGTGCCCAATTGTATGTAGAAATATCACTAGTTGTTCATTCACATCCATCCGCTTTGTATCCGTAAGTAAATTCCTCTCGCACAATGCATCTCGCAGTAAGCAGAAGGTGTGCTTATCAACGCGAAGTTGTTCATAAAATCTAACTGGATGCCCTTCTAACCACTCTTTAGTTTTCTGAGCACCAGTTAATTTGGAAGTATTACGTGGTGTTTTGAATAGTCTTCCGAACATCACATATTGAAAAAGTGACACTACAGAAATATTATGAATAACCATCTGCTCAGAATCAGAATATTCTTCATTTGCCATATCTTCCATCACTGTCCTTTAGCTGATAGATACACTTTCTGTTAAATGGCGGGATAAGAATCATGTAATGAGCGAAAGAATGACATTGCATCATTGTTGTGTGAAACTAATCAGCATAAATGAAATGTATGCCATCAATTTTATATTTTGGGTTCTTTATTGATCTGAAGAACATACATATATATAACTCCAAATATCAAGGGTAGGAATTTATAATTGGATCATATAATTAACAAGCAGCACCAACCAAACAAATACATAAATTTCCAACTGACATTGATTGTTTGAAAACAAAATTACAGAAGGATTAATGAAAAATTGCACATATGACTTAATCTCAACACTCAAAGGTACGCTACAAGAAAAAGAACTACGCATTGTCAACCCAAAGAGACCGAGTCTCTTCATCCATCTCCACGAAAATCGCCCTTTTATTGGCATGTTCAAATGCTTCTGCAGCTTTCAATTTTTTATTTGCCTCAAGTCCAGGCATGCTATTTAATATCTTCATACATGCTTTGACTGAGTAAGCTTCTATCTGTTGTGCTGCATTTTTCTTTGATTCAGCGATGATGAGTGATGCGTCCGCTAGGCGATCAATTGCGTTTATAGCATCATCAGCTGATCGCTTATGCCCCTTTGAAGGTTCTTGTGATCCACTTGCATTGCACTTCTTCTTTTTCTCTGCCTTATTGCTATTAGGCTTCTTAGGACAATCAATAGTGGAATCATTTATTTCATCAGATTCTACTTGTACTACCTCATTCAGATCAATATGTGCTTCACCTTTCCCTTTGCTAGATACAGCACCTAGTCCGGATGCAGTAGAGCTCGCACATATGTCTTGCAGGTCTATCCAACTAGGCCACACTTTATCACGGTATTCTTGAATATTCTTATCCTTCTGCAGTTTGTAAGTTCATTGTTAGTGTACTGGTCAAGTGTATGATATGGCAATTACATAAAAATTAATATGCTTAAACTTACCAAAATGAGTTCCGCCCATTTTTCTTCTGGAGCTTTGATCATTTTGTCATCGTCATCCCAACCAAATCCTGTGTGTTTTAGAAGTCTGTCCATGGTAGCATAACAACTCCTGTAGTACTTATGACGATTTTTTATTTGTTGCAACTCAAGTTTGTCTACCTTTGACTCATTGAACTGTTCTAGGATTTCACGCCATGCTTTTTTTGTGTATCCTGTTCCTTCCTTCCCTCCATTTATAGTTTGATCTTTTAGTATGTTCAGCAATATTTTGTCCTCTGAAGATTTCCATGTGTGGCGCTTTGTGACCTGCTTATCGGTCTTTTCCTTCTTAATACTTTTGATTTGGTCATCCATATTTCCTAAAGGGAAATAAAGCCATAAAATGATTACTAGTTAAATCATGTAGGTTACGCGAATACTGCAATCTTTGTTACCTTTGGCACTAATTATGATCTAAGGAAATTATCATGAAGGGCATTGCATCTACAAGGATGGCCTATACTGTAGTAAAAACAAGAACCTGCCAATTTATATATGTGTCTAATCTATAGGAATAATTGGATATTCATAACTCAAGTAAACACACAGATGGTACAGATTTGCAATTTCAGTTTCGTAGTTGCACTCATGTACTTAAAGCATGAACCTTCTCGCTACAAATTTCAGTATGTTGATCAGTTCATGATTATGGAAGTTACCTGTAGGATGACGAATCTGCAAATTGAATGCTGCTGATGAAAACAAGTTCACGAAGAGATCCCTTGTCTTCCCAGCAGCGGCCAACTGCCAGTAATCGGTGTTCCCAGCCTAGCGCCGGCGGCCAGGGAATCGATGATCACAACAGGTGTTAGCGGCTAGCCATTGAACTAGGTTTCCAGATCTGTTTTGCCGAGGTTTGTTCTACCACCGTCCAGTTTATATAGAAGCGATGGAAACAATGGCGCGTGGAAGTGGCTGCGGGAGGGAAGAAATGGCGCCAATAAGTTTGTTGAGGGAGGAGCGGAGAGAAAAAAGTTTATTACCGAGAGTTTTCTGTAATCTTGTTTTCTCAAAAACGAGTATTAGTCGTTTTTGATAAAACGCAGTTTTCTGGCTTTGTGGAAACCGAATTTTAGATATCCATGCTTTTGTTGAAGGCCCCAAACATGGTTTTAGTTTGTTGGGCGGTTATATGAGCTCACGGAAAACTAGTTTGGCTAATCCAACGTATCCAAACAAGGGGACCGGCCGGCTGTTCTTCGGTCCTCATGCACTCGAAGCTAAGCTAGGATATTATTCGTCGACGGAAAACGGCCCTGCAAGAGAATCCCGGCGAGCATTAACCTCCTTGACGTGTCGGCCATGCGAGCCGCACACGTCTCGGCTTCCTTCTAGACATGCGCCAGCCTCTCAAAGAAAATGTTGTGTACGTGGCACCCGGCACTTCATCATTAAACTAAGCTAGAATCGGGCAAAAGCAAGTGAGCCAATCAACCGGTTTGAGTTAAATTAAGCTAGAATCATAGCAAATCAAATGGTGCAACGAACCAATCATGAACCACGTAGTACGAAAAACACGCCGGTTTGCGTTGGGTGGTGGGCGGTCGGGAGGCGCTGCGGACCGGTCAAGACGCTGTCGGCAGCGTGCACATTTAATCGTCATCGTCACGGGCACGGCCGCCTCCCAACCTCTGCAACTAGCATAGCTAGACAGGCATCAGCCGTGGGATTAGCCGTCCGCGGAAATGATACGGCCGCCGAATTTCTGCTCGCCGCGATGCGACCTTGGCTTCGTGCGGCTGCTGTCTCCGGGCCGGCCGGGAGAATCTGCTGGATTGCTTATCCAGTTCGCTCTGCTGTTGGCCTGTCTGTTCCTGATTTGCCGCCGCGCCCTACCGACCGAATTCAGCACCTGAAGACTAGCTAATGGAAGTTTTTTTTTCCTTAAAAAAAAGTTAGTAGCAGCTAGCCGGGATGCGTGGGCAGAATGGCCCGGCCGTGCGGTTGGGACTATGCACGAGTTTGCCGTGTCGACACTCAAATCGGATCGTAATTGAGTATTCCCGTCTAGCGATATTTTCTACTAGTACTATTAGCGATAAGATAAACGAATGGGCGAGAGGTGAAGAGGGGAGCAGCCGTGCTAATCCGGACAGCTCAGAGGCGGACAAGGACGGGGCGCCGATCCAGCTTCCCTTAATTTTATCCCGACCCTGGCCGCAACGTGCGGGCTATGGTATGGTGGTACGTACGTACGGAAGAAGCCGCGACGACGCCTTCCAAGTTCCAACTCGCAGGCCCCGACAAGCCGACGCGCCCGATGGTTTGGCCCGGTGGTTTCGTCCCAAATTCCCAGCCATCTTCTCGCTCGCTTTCGGCCGCCATACTAGTCAGCTTCGGGCGGCGGCTACTTGCTCCCCCACACGGCGCGGCCGGCCGTGCGGGTCCAACCAGCACACGACACACACGGCCCGTCCGTGCCCACGAAGCGCCACCTGACCATCCTACCCCTCCTTCGCACCTACGCGACGTCCGTGCGTGCTCCGGCGCCCCTCTGGATCCAGCCCAGTTGACCCTTCTCCCCACCACCCGCGGCCACGGGCGTCGCACGTCGCTCACGTTTCTTCCATGGAGGGCCTAAACGGGCGTGCCTTTACCGGCCTGCAGCACAGCCGTCGCTTTTCGGGGGCGGCCACTGACCGAAACGGAGGGCAGCGTCGCCCATTTACGCGAGCCCCCGGGTGACGCGAGGCCAAAACCGGAAATCCCAACCCAAGACGCGGAGGGAGACGGCAGCTGCGCAGGTCGTTATCGCCTCCTCCTCCAGGGAGCGCGTCCCCGTCCGTCTCCCGCCTAGCCCTCGGCACCGATAAAAAGGGCCCCGGTCTCCCCTCCATTCCCCACCCACGCCCATCCAATTCTCCTCTCGGCCTCTCCTCCTCTCCTCGCATCGGCCTCCCGATCCCTCACAGACCACCCGCGGCGCGCACACGCCCGGACCTCCTACCGGCCGGCACCGGTTCAACCAACAAACCAGCCCAGGCACCTCCGGCCGCGCGTGCGTGTTTGACATACCATGGCGCAGCGGGATCACAAGCAGGAGGAGCCCACGGAGCTGCGGGCGCCGGAGATCACGCTCTGCGCCAACAGCTGCGGCTTCCCCGGCAACCCGGCCACGCAGAACCTCTGCCAGAACTGCTTCTTGGCCGGACCAGCGTCCACGTCGCCTTCTTCCTCCTCCTCTTCTCTGCCGGGCGTGTCCGCGCCGACCCCCGTCATCGACAGGCCTAGGCCGGCGCCGTTGGAGGCGGAGCTGGCACGCCCGGCAGTTGACCGCGCTCCGGCGACGGAGGCGAAGCCGGCGAGGACGTCGGTGAACCGGTGCTCCAGCTGCCGGAAGCGGGTGGGGCTGACGGGGTTCCGGTGCCGGTGCGGCGACATGTTCTGCGGTGAGCATCGGTACTCGGACCGGCACGGGTGCAGCTACGACTACAAGGCCGCCGCCCGGGACGCCATCGCCAGGGACAACCCCGTGGTGCGCGCCGCCAAGATCGTCAGGTTCTGAGAAGAGGAAAGGAAAAAGAATCCAGAACCCCTGCCGAGGCATAGCAAAGAATCATCTCATCGAGGCCGTGGACCGCCGTGCGCTAGTATTATGCTGTTGTTCTCCGGAGTGTTTCCCTTTCTAATTAAAAAAATCTTTATTTATTGGAAAAAATGGGAGGTAAAGATGTGGATGGAAAGGAAAGAATAGCGTGTGTAATGTAATACCAACGGGTGGTTGAGGCCGAGGAGCAAGCAATGAAATGGATTGGATGTGTATGTGTATGTGTGCGCTCCACGTTATAATCTCGCCAATTCTTTGCGCAGAATTATTTGGCATTTGACATCACATTATTCATACAGAAATAAGTGTACCCCTGCGGCCATGATTGATCAATCATCAATCATTGATGGAATCAAAATGAGTAGCAGCAGCGGCCTGATTGCCGGGCATTTGGGTCCATGGCATGTTTAAGTGGGATATTTAATCGGAACAGGTGGTAGCCTGTCTTCGCTTTCGCGTTTGTTTGGCCGTCCGCACGCACCACTCCATTTTTATGGCTTGATTCCTGGACAAAATACGCAGGGCGTAAAGCAGGGGCTGGAACGCTGGGTGCGATTTTTTAGTGGGTGGGAATCGATCGGATCGCGGTGTGGTTGGGCCGTGGTGGCACGGTTGCTATCGTGCGGACGCCGCCACATGGCTCGACCCGGGAGGATACGCATGCGATTTCAACTCTCGCTCTTCTTTTTCCTCCTCCCTGCTGCCCTGCTCGTGATTGATGGGCATGGGCCGGTCGTCTTTTCCGACTGCTGACTCGTTCCTGATTAATCTTTGGCCTGTCTGCTGATGGTAGGCGAGTTGTGCTTGTTCACGCCTGCGTAAGTAAAGACTGGTAAGGATCCTATCGGGACTGCTAGCTCCCTCTGATGTGATTGTACAGCCAAGTGGCAACTGGAGCCTTGATCTTCACTGCACTACGTTGACAAAGACAAAACATGAAAAATCCTTAGTATGTGGAATCTCCAGACCCGTATCGTATCTAGGTGCATCGACAACTTCTCTGATGAGATGAGTAATACGTGGTGCGCAATTCGTGCCCCTGTTTAAATAATCCTAAATCCTAAAAAATGCAGCTGTGCTCGTTTGTCTTCTCGAGCACACACGTCTCGGCGCCGTTGGATTCGTATCGTGCAGCACGTACATACACTAAGTGTGGCGCCAGGTGTCGCCTTGTCGGAGTGACGTGGGCCCATGGCATGTTTAAGTGGGATATTTAAATTGGCATTTGGGCCCATGGCTAGGCATTTGGGCCCATGGCATGTTTAAGTGGGATATTTAAATTGGAATAGGTGGTATGTCCTCGCTTGATACCAGCGGCCGCATGGTAGCAGCAAGTTGCGGCGGAAGGAGCACCAGTACCGGAGACGCGGCAGAGGAGGAACGACGCGCGCGCGGCCGTTGTTCGGTTGGCGCAGAGGGGCAAAATTGCGGCCAACAAATCACTGGTAAGCCCATCGATCTCTTCTGCTCTGTTAGACTGTGTTCAATATTTAACGGAAGTGAGGTGGCGACGGCGGCGACGGGTGTTAGGGTTTTGGGCGGAAGCGTACGTAACCTAGCGTGATACCATGTAAGACAATAGGTTTAGGGGGAAACCGGCACAACCCTCTAGGGGTGGCCTATCACATATATATAATGAGTAGGATACAACAAAAATCTGATGTGCTCAATATTTTGTTCAGTCTCAAAAACATGTTAAACGCCTTCTCAAGCACAAAATTGTTCATGTCTAGTCGGACTAGGGGGGGGGGCGAGTATCGCAACCTCAACTCCGTCTTTCAGTCGCTTGGGATCGCTCACCGTTTAGCATGTCCACATACACATCGGCAGAATGGTTCAGTAGAATGTAAGCATCGCCACATCATTGAAACTGGTATTACTCTTTTGGCTCATGCATCTGTTCTGTTTCGGTTTTGGAGTGATGCTCTCACCACTTCATGCTTTCTTATCAACCGTACTCCCACTCATGTTTTGAACATGAAGACTCCCATTGAAGTTCTTCTTAATGAACAACCAGACTACACCTTCTTCAAGGTGTTTGGGTGTGCTTGCTGGCCCATCTCCGTCCATATAACAAGCGTAAGCTCGAGTTTTGTTCCAAGAAGTGTGTCTTTCTTGGTTATAGCTCTCTTCATAAAGGATACAAATGTCTTCATGTCCGCACTAATCGTGTCTATATATCTCGGGATGTCGTGTTTGATGAGCATGTTTTTCCCTTTGCCAAACTCCCTATGTCTACTGCCGAACCACCACCCATGCATTCATCCTCTGTTGCTTCTGACCAATTTGATGATGTTGCATCTTCTCCAATATTGTTGCCTAATCATGGTGCAGGCACTGGTCGTGGGGCTCGTTTGGAGATTTTAGAGGCACCATCGCCTCCTTCGTCATCATCGCCTTCCTCGTCGGCACCATCAGCTGTGCACGACGATCATATGGCGCCACTACATGGCCTCGGTCCGCGTGCCCATGCACGACCGATCGATGCCCCAGTTTTGTCGCCCGCTTCATCGCCTCTGGCCCCAGGGCCGGCATTGCCGCGGCCTCAGCCCGCGACCCTGGTCGTGCCAACGGCGTCTGGGCCGGCCTCGCCCGTCCCCGCCTCGTCACCAACAGCGACTCGGCCAGCCTCGCCCGCACCCGCCTCGCCTATGGCATCTGGGCCATCGCCATCGGGGCTGGCCTCGCCCGGGCCGGTTTCAGCGCCATGCAGCCCGGAGCCGTCTGGCATCGGCTCCCCTGAGGCGTCGCCTGGTCCCACGACACCACCGTCGCCCTCGTCCAATACTGTTGCTGCTAGCTCCTTTAGCGTCGTGATACGTCTCCAACGTATCTATAATTTATGAAGCATTCATGCTATTATATTATCTATTTTGGATGTTTACAGGCTTATTATACACTTTTATATTATTTTTGGGACTAACCTATTAACCGGAGGCCCAACCCATATTGTTGTTTTTTGCCTATTTCAGTGTTTCGAAGAAAAGGAATGTCAAATGGAGTCCAAACGGAATGAAACCTTCGGGAGCGTGATTTTTGGAACAAACGTGATCCAGGAGACGTGGAGCTGAAGTCAGGGAAGCTTCAAGGAGGCCACGAGGCAGGGGGCGCGCCCATCCCCCTGGGCGCGCCCTGCACCCTCGTGGGCCCCTCATGGCTCCCCTGACCGACTTCTTTCGCCTATATAAGTCCATATACCCTAAAACCTTCGAGGAGCACAATAGATCGGGAGTTCCGCCGCCGCAAGCCTCTGTAGCCACCAAAAACCAATCGGGACCTGTTCCGGCACCATGCCGGAGGGTGAATCCCTCACTGGTGGCCATCTTCATCATCCCGGCGCTCTCCGTGATGAGTAGGGAGTAGTTCACCCTCGGGGCTGAGGGTATGTACCAATAGCTATGTGTTTGATCTCTCTCTCTTGTGTTCTTGATTTGGCACGATCTTGATGTATCGCAAGCTTTGCTATTATAGTTGGATCTGATGATGTTTCTCCCCGTCTACTCTCTTGTAATGGATTGAGTTTTCCCTCTGAAGTTATATTATCGGATTGAGTCTTTAAGGATTTGAGAACACTTGATGTATGTCTTGCCATGCTTATCTGTGGTGAAAATGGGTTAGTCACGTGATCAACTTGATGTATGTTTTTGTCGTGGATTTGTCACGGCAGATGTCCTAGCGAAAGGACTTAGTCGTGGAGCCATCGCTACGAGTTTACTTGAAGGGGTTAAAGAGGACACAAAGACACGAGGGGTTTATACTAGTTCAGCCCCTTCGATGAAGGTAAAAGCCTACGTCTAGTTGTGATGGAATTGATGTGGTCTCGATGGCTAGGGAGCAAACAAGCTTTGCCCAGACTCGAGTTGTTGTCGTTGTCTCCCTTGAACCGCCGCCGGGTCGTCCCCTTATATACACGGGTGACGCCCGTCGGTCCATAGAGTCCCAACCGGTTCATATTCGTATCCCGGTTGGTATCTCTCTATTCCTAACTTACAATACAAGTTATACATCAGGTCGGTTTACGGCTACAGATTCTAAACCGGCTATAGGCCTTGGGCCTTCACCTGCTTATACCACTATGAAGTTAACCCGGCCCAAGTAGGCCGGTTTATGCCTAGTGGCAATATCCCCAACATTAGGCCCTAGATTGATTTGAACTGGTTCATGTCAATCCTTCACACAATCTTGCATCTTGGATATCTTCTGGTAATTGGTAAACCTTCATGTCATCATCATTTTCGGTTGCTGTAAACCGGCATGACGTCATCAGTTTTGGTTACTATAAACCGGCATGACGTCATCATGAAATTTATAATGCCCTCTCAATAACAGCTCCTGGATCCGCGCGCTTGACCTAGCTCGGTTGCCTTATAAATAAGACCGAAGGGTCATTTCTTTCCTTGCTGCCATTACCTCCATCCTTCTAGCCCCCAAGGGCCGGTTTGTAACGTTGGTCGAACCGGGACTTGATCCTAAACATTCTTGAAACCGATCGGTATAGCCCGCAAGAACCGGTCTAACTTAGCATAAGTAAACCGGGGCTCCAATAGAGAACTGTCCTTAGAACATAACTTGATCAAATAACCATTAGCCCCCAAGTGCCAAGTTGAATACTTGTATTGAGCTTGGAACTTTGTGATCGAGTAATATATAAAAATTGAAGGTGCATTAGCCCCCAAGTGTCAGGCATATAACTTTGTTATGTGGTTGATACTTGAACTCCTTGGATCGCCTGTGCAAAACTTAAACGCTGTCCGTGTGCAGGCTGAGGTGAAAATCAAGGAGGACCGAGTTGCCGATTTGTAGGAGGCCTTGAAAACCCAGCAGGCTGAAACAGATAAGGCAAAGCAAGAATTAACCAGCGCTTTGAGCACTGCTGAACGGCTGAAAGAAGGCTTCAAGAAAGAGCGGGCTGACTGGGCCACTGAGAAGGCCGGTTTAACCAAAAGAGCGGAAAATGC